CACTACACCATAGTAGAAGTAGAAATTACTGTTTACAACATGGCATTCCAGCATTTTTTAACAGCGTCCTCGTCTTTTCCGACAGTGCGAGCTATTTCTCTCCAAGAATTATTAACTTTGAGAGCTGAATCATACAAATGTCTGTATTTACGAACCTCTGCCATACTAGTTCTTGCCGGTCCGCCATGTTTTTCCGCGTCCGACCGTCCGCGTGGTTAGACAATTTCCTAGGTGCGCGTTGCGGAAATTTTGGGCCGTGCTGAGGCGCGGTGGAGGGGCGTGGTTGTTAAAATGACGCAACTTTTCCGCGCGGAGACGTGCGGATCTCGCGGACCCGTCAAGCATAAACCAACCTTAAACTATCCTTAGGTGTGAGTGTGTGCGTGCATGGTTGCGTGTCTCCTTGTTGCCTTGTTGTTGGACTGGCAAACTGTCCAGGGTGTACCCCGCCTGTATGCCCGTAAACTGCTGGAGATAGGCACCAGCCCTCTGCAACCCTGCTTGGACGAGCGGGTACAGAAAATGGATGAATAAAAATTGATAGCTGGAGATTTATTAATAATTATTCATTAATTATTATGCAGACAAAGAAAGGGCTTAAAACAACACTGGAATTTATTTTCTTCCATGTGATTCAAATAATAGTTTTAACTACTGAAAGAAAGTGTATGGAGTTCCATCATCTCAGGAGAGCTTGGGAGAAAAGCTGCAGCCCCTTCTCAATGAGAAAAAAGCCAGCTCTGTTTGGTCTTTGGATTAGAAGGATTACAGAGCTTCTCCAGTTTTGGAACATCTTGAGATCCCCCAGGAGGTGCTGGAGAGTTTCTCTGGGGAGAGGGATGTCTGACTTTCCCTCCTGGTTCTTTTACCTTCATAAAAAGCAGTAAAAACTAGACTGATGAGATTAACTTAAACTGTGGGACCACTGATGATTGATTGAGTGACACTTTTTGTTTTTGTAGAAATAATTTCATATTGGATCACTTTGCATATTTATTTCCCCCCAAAATTATGCATATAAATAAATCTTAATGTGCTGAAATTCAAGTTTACCATTCATATGCATGTTAAACTACCATGCAACATTACCCAACAGAGGGTTACTTATTTGTGGTTTTTAAAGGTTTATATGGTTTTTTTCATTAAAAATGTGGCTGCTGGAAGATGTCCTATTCATCAAGTCCTATAAGAGCGAAAATCCACAAACATGTGCTACATCTGCAACATTTGCCCCATTATATTCTCTCCTGTTGTCAGCAGCAGCTCCTAACATGACCAGCCGTAGTCGGGTCAGGAGGGAGATCCAGCAAGCCCCTAATTGGGAACAGGTTGAACATCGTGTTGAACAGTTGTTATCTCACTATGAGGAACAGCACTTTGACCCCTCTCCAAAGGTGCATTATGCTCAAGTATGAAACATATGTTCAGTCCTTATGCAGCATTGAGAAACACTACATAAGAGGGTTTCTAATGCATGTCACGTCCAACTATTACAGCACATATCCAGATATCTTGTTCATGCTGGTCATGTTTAAAGACTGTGGCATCTGGCCTCTTGGCTTCTGGTTTTGTCCGGGGAAGGAGACACTGCTTCTAGGGTGTAGCATATTTGCTGTGCAGGATAACCGTTCTCCTAAGTGAGCCTGTGTTTGAGAGAATTCTGGTTTTCTTAGTCATTGGAAATCAAAAATTCCAGCTGAGAGCTCATCAGAGTTTATGGCTTTCCTTAACATCACTTGAAGACTTCCTTGGTTTATCTGCTGACATTGGCGTGGGCTTTGTGGAGCCAGAGCAAGTTGGCAAGAGCACTGGCTCCTGGTGGTGAATGGCATTCGTGCAGGGGATTATACAGGCGCGTTGGGAATAGTAGTTTAAACCAGTGTGCTTTTGTTAAAGACTGAAGGCAACAGTTGTCAGACAATATGTTGTTTGTGTTCTCCTTTTTATGAGGCAGCAGTGGCTCCGGAGGTAAAGCGGGTTGTCCAGTAATCGCTCAGTTAGATCCCAGCTCATTCTTAGTCATTCTGCTGTTATGTCCTTGGGCATGACACCTCATCAGCTTTTCCTGTGTTGGTGGTGGTAAGAAGGGCATATGGTGCAAAAATGGCAGCCTTGGCTCAATCAGGGTGCCCCAGGGCAATTGTGGCTAGCTACCCTGTAGTTTATCATCACCAGTGTGAATGAGGGAGTTAATGAATAATGGATTTTGTCTAAAATGCTCTGAGTCCTTGAAAAGCACTTTATACATCTAATTCATTATTATTTTATTGTCATAAAAAGAGTGCCTCGTCTGTAGTGTTGGACATGTTTGCATCAACTGAATGATGCTCAGGGCTGCATGGTGTGGCAGTTTGTAGCTTTGTTGCTTTGCAGGAAATGGGTTGTTGATTTGGATACCACCTGCGCAGCCTTTCTAAGTGGGGTTGGCATTTTTTCCCCATGTGTGTGGGGATTTTTTCCTGGGTACTCAGGCTTCTTTCCAAAACATACATGTCAGGGTAATTGGAGACTAAATTTGGTGTGAGTGTAACTGGTGGTTTGTGATGGATTGGCAACCTGCTCAGGGTTTCCCCCATCGCTCGCCTGTTGACGGCTGGAGATGGGTACCAGCTCCATGTGAACCTAGAGCAGATGAAGTGGTTTAGATAATGGATGGATGGATGTTGCTCATTTGAGCCATGTAGTGTTTAGTGCCAGCTTGTCACGGCATGAATGACACTGCAAAGGTAATTTCAAAATCAGGCCAATGATACTTGATGGTTCACATGAAATGATCCACAATTAAAGCATTGGTTCCATTTAACCTCAGTTACTGCAGTCATCCCCACCCATGTTTACACCATGTTTGCCACACACGTATCCAATACCAGTCATGATTGTAGCAAACAATTATACAGTCCCATCAGCTTAATGCACCAGGGTACAAATACAGTCATTTTCTCCACTGTGTCATCTTAGGCTCACATTACTGGAAAAAAATGTTATTGCTCTCAAAGTGCTGATTTTCAACATATATTGAAATAAAAAGATCACAACATGCCCTATAGGTTATAAATTGTAAGTCACTTTGGATAAAAGCGTTTGCCAAATAAATAAATAAACATAAAATAAGCATAAACATAATATATATATAATTTTTTAAATATATATTTTTATACATAAAAGGCCATACATGCTTTAGGTTTAGTTTTTTAGTTGGTACTTTTTTGTTAATTTACTTAGTTTGTTTTAGATTCTTCAACCATGTTTACCGTTGTGTTAAAGCTACTATAGCAAATCTACAGAACAAGCTAGGTTTTAAACGCAAACATGGTCACAGAACATTCACACACAGCCCCCCCCCCCCCCCCCCCCTTCTCAGGTATCTTCCCTGAGCTGAGACGCTTCTACCCTAACCAGAGACCCACATTGCAGGAGGAAACAAGAGAGTCCTGAACACCTGTCACAGTTTTCTACATTAAAATGTCTTTTATTGTCCATGAGTTCAAATGTTTTACTTTTTGGGACTTTGGTAGTTTGTCCAACAGTTGAAGTGATAGCAGCTGACTCTTTCTCCTTTGACATTGACCCCTCCCTAAATGTTCAAAAAGATGGCTTTGTTCGGGTTCACACCTTCACTTTGTTTATACTCATGATTTTATTTTCTACGTTTAACACTGCTATTGTTTTTCTGATGTTTTTATTGGTTAGAGGTATTTGCCCTGATCTTTATCGTGTTGTACAGCGCTTTGTGATTTATATCTGTGAAAGGCGCTACATAAATAAACTTTTACTTACTTACGTACTTACTTACTTACATTATTGAGCCATGAACCTCTCATACCAGTGCTGTTGTGTTGCTAATTACATGAGTGCATAATGACTGGTGGATCCAGGAAGGTGCGGTAGTCCGATAGAGGTCTCCTCCCCTTCCGGTCTGCTCATTGGTCCTTGGAAGAATGAAAAAATAAATGCAAGTCAATGGGGCTAAAAGAGCTAATTTCTAATCCGCTCTGCCTTACATCCTGGATCACACATATGTTGTACTTTGATTTAAATGAAAAGTAATGATGTGCGTTTTGACCAAGCCAGTCACGTACTTTGAGATTTATCAGCTTTTAAAAGTTTGTAATTAGCATGACTACAAACCAGACATTGGTGCATCGAATAAATGACATCACCACAGAATCTCCTCTCCCCTAGCACAGCTGCTACTTACCACGTGGCCAGATTTATGGTGGTTCTTTCCTCCTGAAGGAAGGATTTGAAGTTCAACTTACAGCCATTTCCCCTCTGTTTTTCTCCATGTCTGTTTTGATGACGTCACTTTAGTGATGCACATTTGTAGTCCTGGACGTACCACACAAAACATAAAATAAAGTTTCCCCCCATTTGAAAATAAGCACTTTCTTGGCATCAAAATGCGTCTTTAAAATTCACAGACGTCATATGTGAAATCCATGGCATTTAACAAGCGGAATTAGAAAATAGTATTTTTAGCCCCATTGATTTGCATTTATTTTTTCGTTCTTCCGGGGACCCATGGTCCGGAAGTAGATGGGCACGACTTAGGCTTGCTATAGTTGCTTTTTGTCTGAAATGTGTTATTGCCAGAGGTTTTGAGATAAAATTAGTTGTTGTTTTTTTTTTTTTAATTTCCGCAATATATAACTATACTACATTAAAACATTGTTAAGAGGCATAAAACATTTTTTTAAGATAATTTGTTTTCCAAATTTGCCATTGCACCTTTAACACACCCTGTTTATAGTGGTTAGTATTTGACAGAATGATTCCTGGAATCACTAGGATAGTGAAAAAAACAAACAACAAATGGTTAGTATGTGGGGATGTCACAGTATCAACAGTTGACCAGTCATATGTACTTGTGCTGAAGGTTGACTTGGTGTGTGCTGACTTGAGGTTTGATACACAGCAGTGCCATTGATAATTACATGAAAAACCTGTATTTTTCCCACAATGAATGAATGAAAAATCTTGTTTCATTTATTTTTATGTAGGGAGGTTGCACCCCGTGTCACATATACCTACCAGATCCAAACACTCTCAAGTCAGAGTGAGAGTGAGCCTTCTTCACCACTGGTGCATGAACTTGGGGCACCCTATTGTGGAGATGGACGCATCCAGAGGTAATATAGGAAGTACAAGGCAAAATTACAAACCCACAAAGATGTGGATTGATTGCTTTCAGTTTTGATACTGAAGTGTTTGTTGAGAACTTTTGCTATTCGTTTTAGTTCCAAAGGAGAGGAATGTGATGACATGAACTTTGTGAATGGAGATGGTTGTTCAAGTCAGTGCAAGAAAGAACCCTTCTTCAACTGTGTCGGTAAGTAATTTGGACTCTGTGTATGTCCGGGTTCAAATATTATTTTATAAATAGTGGCAGAATAGTATTAATTACATGGAGAAATAACTTGTCCCAATGCTTGTTTGTTCAACTTTATGAATCCTACCCATGACATCTGAAATAGATCTGGTTTATTTCCAACTATATAATTCAGTTTATTTATATTGTGCCAAATAACAACAAGAGTTGTCTCAAAGAACTTCACAAAGTGAACATTCTGATTGAATTTAGATCATAATGCCAATTAGTTAGCAATCCTCATACTATGCAAGCATGTAGCAACAGTGGAGAGGAAAACTCCCTTTTAACAGGAAGAAACCTCCTGCAGAGCCTGGCTCAGTAGAAAGAACTATCTGCTGCGACTCACTGGAGACCAAGGGGAGAATTGTTGTGAAATTATGACAGGCATTGGATAAAATATAAATTTCTCCCCCAAATTTTATTTTTTTACCGACTTTTTTTGCTGTTGTTCTTGGACAATTTTTTATTTGCTATTATTTTCTAGAAACAGTCACATGTATATCATTTAAATACAGTTTTTATTTAGTTAGCAATGTATTACATTCCAGTACTTAGTTCAGATGTAATCTTTATCTATCCCGTATTAGCTAAACTTCGACTACATTAAACCCTATAAAACCTAAAATGACATTGTGTAGTTTATACCATTAATCTCTGGAAATATCCATCAAAATGTTGTTGTAAATTAATTAAAAGATACCCAGTTGTTGAAAAATATCTGCAGTTTTATAACATATAACCATAAAAATCAGGTCTAAAATACATGGGAGCGGGTCTAAGTCTCTGGGCGACGCCATATTGGATTCCAAGTTTCCTGCTACGGAAGGCTGTGAGGACAAAATGCATTTACTGATTTGTAACAAATGGTTACACAATTTCCACAATTGATAAACTTTTTTGCTTTAGACATTTACCTCTTCACTTGTTGCCGGTGATGAAAGAGAGTCTGATGTTCTTGTTAGAGGTTGCGCTCCCAGGGATTTTTGACCCTAATGGCCATCCGTTGGTAAGGTCTTACTCAAACACAAAAGTAATGCTTTCTTGCTATCATTTAGGTAATTACTGCCCCCATCACCTGGGAAAATACACACTGTCACTTTAAGTTACAGTACCTAATTTTTCTAATACATACTCAGCCAAAAATACATTAGACACACAATCCACTCCTGTAAATCACTGCAGAATTGAAGGAAAACTCCCATCTGGCAATTAGTGTTTATTTTAGGCTCTTGTTATTTAACTTAATATTAAAGTGGATGTGTTCATAATGATTTGCTTTGCTGAACATATATTTAGATTTTTTTTATCTCAATGGGCAATCCACTTTGTGCTTCTACTTTAACTGTTAAAGTAATGAAATACAAGAATGATGTGTTCTTCAGGTAATCACTTTGACCTTTTAAATGACAAAATATGAATGTCAAAACTTTAAAAACAAAGAGTAATCTTATTTTACATGCCTGAGTTAATACGCCTTTCATACTTTGGAAGTGATTTTATGACCATTTAAATATTTTCCCATTCCATTTTTTTTCATGCTGACTATTATTTTCTACTTTTTTGTGTTTTGATGTAATTGTGCATGTGTGCATGCATGTATTCCTGTTCAAACCTCTGCGCAGTGGCCACTAAATCCCTGTCAGATTAATGGCTGTTTGCACTGGCTGCTTAGTTTTTCCACCAACTACAGTATTATTGGTGGTGTAGAAGTGCGTGTGATACAGCAACAGTGTCTGATATAAAGTTTTAAGCAGAAATTTGACACTTTAATGACAGAAACGTAAATTTATCTGTCTGTCTGTGTGAGAGAGCACCTGTTTCTCAAGTGAAGGAAAGTGCTGGATGGAGAACAGACACTAAGTAAACAACCGCTTCAAGGTGCTACCATGGGGTGAACTTCAGCGGCCTGTTTGTAACAGAGCTGATTTATATCTGAAGTTGATGAAATTCACAAGTTACCGTTTCAGCCAGAGAGTGTGTCTGAGAAAGACTGTCCCATCTAAAAGACAATGTTTGAGCATGTTCTGTAGCGGGTTTCTGTGGAAAGACTCTGAACAATGAATATCTCAGCTGTTGTAGACAGATGTTTAAATAACCCTAAATTAGATAAATAGAGAATACTTCTGACCAGAATGATAAGGCCAGTTTTAAAGCAGGTTAAGGGCACTTGAGAACAACTTATAGTTTATGTGAACAGAGCTGCCTATTCACATTCCCAGTGGCTACTGTGAAAATTAGAAGGAAAGCCAGGATAGAATTTCCTGTCAGAATTTCATAATAGTTCTGCAGAAATGACAAATATGGTGAAGGTGATTTATAGGTTTTTAAAAAATGATTCTCCTGAATTTTTTTTAAAGGGGACATACTATTAATTTGTTTTAAATTCATTGATCTATGAAAATTGTTCATGAAGTTCTTTGCTCTAAATCCCTCTCCCAGAAAGTAATTTCAGCAGTTTTATTCTTGACAATTTCAAAACCTTCCAGTATGAGCCATTTCAAACCTCTGTCACTTTAAGAAAACAAGTTAGAGCTGGCCAGACCTACCAAACCCCCACTCAGGCTGCTATAAGCTGAGAAGCTCCGATATGCAGTGGGGCTCAGAGTAGAGCTGCTGCTCCTCCAGCAGCAATTTTTCTCCTCTCTGTGAGAGGTGGTTCTATTCTATTTTCTCCATAATTGACGTCACAATTGGTAACTTTTAGAAACAACATTTTTAGGCACATAATTTTTAATCCCAAACACTGAGAAAACCGATGGATGTTTTTTTTTTTTTTTCCAAATTTACAATGTTAATAGAGGCAGTGGAGACCCATTTGGCAGCACAAAATGATGGAAAAGGTACGTTTTAGATAATATTTCCTTTTTAATTAATTTTACGTATTTTCTTCAAATGATATAAACTGTCTTTTTAAGTCACTGTTAGATTTAATTAATTTTAACAAATTAACATTAAACATAATCAAATTATACCAAACCACTCTTATTGGAGCTATATTTCAATTTTTTATTTCACTGGCAACTGCCTTTTTTTCTCCTTCTGCAACTCTTTTCTTTTCATTGATGCACTCCCTCACCTTCCCACTCTCCCAATATCTGTTTATTTAATCCTTATCCAAATCCAGGTACTATATCAATACACCTTTTAGTGATTTTCATGCTCTCACTTCTCTCCCTTCAGCTCACACTCTAGTCTTTGTTCCTGCTCCTCTCACTAGACACTGTTTGAACTTCCTCTTGTCTCACTCCTACTTCTTCCCTACTTGTTTACCTCTGTTCCTGCTTAGTGAGTGGCGGGAGGCTATTCTATATGCCCCCTCAGTAGCCCCTCGTTTCATCTTTGCCAGAGCACAGAACTGACTTTAGCTTTTGGCCGTGTTGTGGATGGCTGGAATTTCAAGGAGGAAGCCTTGGCCAACTTGGCACAGAATTCCGCCTTTCCCCCTAACTGGAACCCCACCGGCTGACGCTTGCTTTAGCTGAGACCAATGAGGCCCAGGCAACCTTCCTGCTCAGCTCTCCTATCCTCAAGTACATAAGCTTTCAGTTCCAGACCTTAACTCCGGGTGGGATGTCTGGAAAAAATACCACTGTATCTTTCCTTTTACCCCTTGACTTTGTCTGCCCTTTCACTTTCTCCCCCCCCTTCTCTGTTTGTATGTCACGCTCTCATTTAATCATAGTCACTCTTTAAATCTTCTCTAACCCTTACCCTCTCTTCTTTATGATTTAAAAACGTCCTTTTGTTTCCGTTCATATATTTTGACACACCTTCACAATCCTGCACCTTTATCTGGTCCACTTTCATACAATAGAACCAAGACCAGAAAAGCGAAATGATTGCAAAAACACATGAGGGGATGGAAACGAGTTCTAAAGTTTGGAGGATGTCAAATCACATCTGTGAAGCAAATGAGATAGTGTTAGGCAAAGAAAAACTGGATGGTGATGTGAAAGCCATCAAGGTGCACTTTGCATTTTCCAAGAAATTACTGCTTTAAAAAAAACTTGAGCATTTTCCTGTCATCTTTTCAACTGCAGAGGAGCCAAGCATGTGCTACTACTACGATGGCGACGGGGTGTGTGAGGACTTTGAGAGAGAGACGGGTGTAAGGGACTGTGGCCTTTACACCCCCAGTGGTTTCTTAGACCAATGGGCTTCTTCTGTTGATGTTTCCCATGATGAGAAACCCTACTGCTCTGGTGAAGTGGCTGCTGGGTATCCTGCTGCTACTAAGGTGAGTTTGTTTATCAATCATCCAGTTGATTCAAATAACCCCACCCCCTGAGAATTCTAACCGAGCCAATCAGCGCTGAGTAGCGTATGTCACACACCATAAAGCCGGGTTTGTCATAAACATGGCGACTGAAGCGGAGTTCCCTGCGGATCTTTCCTCTGTTCTAAATGCCTTGCACAAGTAGAAGCGCTAAAAGCCTTTCTTCTAAAGACAGACGTTTTGTGCTCTCGCCAGATGCCTTTTTTGACTACAGCTAAAAAACTGCAGCGTTGCGCGGTACAGTCGGCATTTCTGTCTTTTTTTCTGATTGGTTATTTATGAGCTGGCTAGTCCCGCCCCTCACGTGCCTCTCTGCCTGAGTTTCCAGACTCATTCTCTGTGCAAAATTAAACAGGACGAGTCTGGCAGGACAGGCTAGACCCCGCTGCCCTCTGAGGCCAGAATACCATATTTGCAACTTCAGAGTGCCGGTCCGGTCTGCTGGACGTTAAAAAAATAGAGCCGACATTCATGGCAAAGCAGTCTGGTTCCAGCGTGTTTACAGCATGTTTTATATCATGAACACATCTGATTTGCTTGATTTAGTTATGAATCACTCCTGTAGACACTAAGGAAGGCTAGGGAGATGTTTCAGCTGTTAAAGGTGTTAAAAAGACAAACCTATAGCAAGGAGTTAGCTTCTGCTTTCGGCTCTACAAACGGACACTTTGTGAGTGCTAAAAGAAAGCCCAAACTGCCAAATGCATCTTTAAACTAAAGTCAAACACACCAATATGAGATATTTGCTGAGTTTCCTTTGCTGCAATTTGACACTGTTTCATGTTGCTCATACCAGAGTAGCAGCATTTGACCTGATTCACACACACACATGCATATTCCTGTCACCGCATCTGTACATTGACCACATTAGTTTCCTGGAAATTTTAATGTTTTGTTTCTGGGAACCCTTTAAAGCAGCTTTGCATGATTCTTAGCACAAAAATCCTTTAGTATACTGCTAATCTTATATTGCCTCTCTACAGTTAATCCTCTGTCTGAAATTAGACCTTTTTGCTCCTGTATTTTTAAGTCCCTCGCTTCTCTCTCTGGCTTTGTGGAGATATGCTGTTTGCACTTGTTTGTGTAGAAAATTCAGAAAAATTAACCAACGAATGAAAGAACATGAGTTTTCAGTCTTAACTGCAAAAAGCAACTCCTCAAATACTTTTTTTCTTTTTCACATTTTCAAGCTCAAATTTAGGTGGAAATAAGAGAGTGGACAGCAACAATAAAGTAGAACATTTTTGGTTGGTAAATTTGATTTTAGTGTGACATTTTTGAGGAATATAACATGTAGATAAGTAGTACACTTCCAAAGATCCAGGCATTATTTCAGGTAAGTGTGTGCATGTTTCAGTAGTTGGCTCATTCCAACATTTTCCTGTCAAATGCCAAAATGAAACGAAATGAAATTAGATGTGTCAGCCTTCTAAGTAAGTTTAAAGCCCTGTGTTCCAATTGAAATACTTTTACCATAAATGTGATTTTCTTGAGTGTTTTATGTATATTTTATGAAAAAGGACTGTACACACTTGACAGTGGAATGCCAAAAGAATACAGAAAACTGATGATTCAAAGTAAATCCACAATCAGCCATATCAATAGAGATATTTGAGATTAGTTTATTATGTCAGTGCTAGACTCAAATTCAAACAGGTGCTCTTACCTCCCCGGATCTCAAATCTGTTATTTCACAGACTGCTGTCTAATGCAGATAAGATAGTGTCTACTCATAACTTCTTTACACATATCCACTTCAAAAATGGCAGAACTTTTCCTTTATCTTCAATCTAATCTTAAACTATCCCAACAGCGTAAATGCAAAGATTTTGTATCATAAGTGCTTGATTTTGATCCTGTACGGAAAGGCAGTTTTGCACAATGTGACGGTGAGCAGATTTGTATTCCCCCAACATCTGTATGAGAAACACACACATATACAGACACAAACACAAAGCTTCAGAAACACAGAAGTGCATTAGCCCCAATCCTGTTTAATCTCTTTTCACTAATAGAGATGGCAAAAGCCAAGACATGCTGTTGACATACTATCTGTTTCAAAGCTTTGTTTATTATTTTGAAGCACCTTGTCATTTTTATCTTAAGAGGCGCTATATAAAATATTGTTTTCTTTCTTTCTTTCTTTCTTTCTTTCTTTCTTTCTTTCTTTCTTTCTTTCTTTCTTTCTTTCTTTTTTCTTTCGTTCTTTTTTCTTTCTTTCGTTCTTTCGTTCTTTCTTTTTTTTAATTAAGTTTAATTAAATTCATTTTGTATCTACATCTAACGCTAAAGCTGTGGGTGACTGAAAAAACATTTTTAAATTGTGTTTCCTGATTATAATCAATCACTCAGAGTTTTTCATGTAGGCTGAACATGAAAATAGTCTCCTACACCTATCTCCTGCATTAGCTTCTGACAGATAATAGCAGGTGAAAATCTAGGATTTGACAATATTGACAGATCTACGTCACACTTTGACAGACCCGGCACCAGAGGACTTCACCTGGAGGGGTAGTGGGTTTTTCTGGGGGGTGGGGGTGGGGGGTGGGTGGGGGGGGTGGGGGGTGGGGGGGGGGCAGTAAACCGTGTTTTTTTCAACCCCTTTGCATGTTTATAATCTGTCTGGTGGACGTTACATACACATACTTCCGGGTCAAATCCGTTGTTTTGCGTCACCAAGTTGTTCTACATACAAACTGAGAAGCTAAGATTCTTCATTGTTTTATTCCGATTATGTATGCCAATTAAAGATGCAATCAAAACTTAAGACAAAGTAACCAATTTTACTGAACCAATACTTGCAACTCACCGTTAGCTGCGCCTGCGCACCACAGAGTCACCATCTCAAAACAATCCCAACATCCAGTTAATGTTCTCCAATAACGTACTTAGTCCAAAAGTCTTCTTCCAAATCCTGCCCTGCAGCTTGATACCTTAGTAAATTCTTCTTTTTGCACGTATTTCTCATAATGTTTACATCACGAATACTAGTTAGCATCAGGTTAGCATGCTACTTCTTGGCTGCGTGCTTCTTCTTCTGGGTAAACATTGACTTGGTGCGCTACTGCTACCAGCTGGTAAGAAGTGTAACCTAGGTCTTCTAAACAAGATTTAGAAAATCTAGAGTGTTTTCTTTCTAAAAAGAGAACAGACAGCCCTGTATTTAAGATTGTTCAAAACAGTTTCAACTTTAATATGCGTTTTAAAACATTTGAATAAAAGGACAGAAGACACCCCTGAATTCAAAATGGTAACAAAGAGTTTGATGAGGAATGAGAACTAAACTGTCTGCAGGTGAAACAGTATGCTGCATCTGTTTTCACTGAATATTCCAACCATGTTCTATTTTGGTACCATGATGAAGAAAAACTGCGTTTTTTCCCAGAGAAAAGTCTAACTGGATAATTTTCCAGGCGAACCTGATTAGGCTTATCCACCCCGAGGTCATCTGAACGGCGATTTATGTTGGTGCTGCTGCCACTCGGTGGCGCAATTGCCTGCTGAGACTGTGCTGGAGGCACGGAGAGAGGAGGAACAGAAGCGCTTGTAGCTGCAACTTCTGGCTGCACTGGCCTTTTTGATGATGCGTCATCCCTGCTTGTGCTAGCATTGTTTTTCTGTTTGCTAAACCAAGCTCTGATATCCATTTTTGCAAGCTACTGTACCAAAGCGTCTTCTTCTACTGCATCTAAAACTGTCGATTAGTAACCTAGAGCGCCCTCTGTTGATCGTCTCGAGCCAATACATTTGCATGTGGTGCTGTAATCTGTCTTGAGCGGGCCAGATCAGCAAATGGGCGGGCCGGGCCCGCCCAGGCCCGGCCTTGACGCCGGGCCTGCACTTTGAATTAACATTCATGTACTCACCCATCTTGACTCACAACAGGGAAGACTGTTGTTTTAGCATCTGGCAATCAGCAGTGGATGTCTCGTCTAGTTTAAGCTAACCGTTAGCGCTAGCAACAACACCTCACAGCAGAAGTTCCTCCAGGCTTGAGTAATTTGTGAAGATAAAACATCCACATTGCAAGCCAATGGTAGAGTCCCGTTGTTATCCAGTCAGATAAAGTTAAAGTCCCATTAGTTATCACACACTGGTGAAATTCATCTGCAGATTTGACACATCTCCATGGGGAGTGGTGAGCTGCAGCTGTGGCTGCGCCCAGGAACTATTTGGTGGTTTAACCCCCCGATCCCACTCCTTCAAAGATGAGTGTCAAGCAGGGAGGTATTGGGTCCCATTTTTTAAGTCTTTGGACTCAACCAGGATTTAAATCCCAATCTCCCAGTCCCATGGTGGACAGTCTATCACTAGGCCACTAAGAAGGTAACGAGATGTCCAAATATCAGGCTCCAAAACCTGCCATCTGAAGCTCAGCTGGGATGTGGGTAACTTTTAAGCCCGATAAATGGTGCACCGGTGTATTTTTTTCTTCCCAAGAACAACTTACATGACATTTATTCCTACTGGAGAGCACTGCAAATGTATTGATTAAATTAGTCAATGTTCAAATAAAAGCAATATGCAATTTCAGTGTTCTGTCGCTTTGTTTGGTGGTTTTCTTAAACTTTACATTTATTCTTTAAAGAGCAAGTCACCCCCTACCAGAGTCTTACTCCACTCCCATTTCCTGTTTGAAAAATGCACCACAAGGAGACGTTGCCTGGCAGGCTGAGAGGGTGGAGCCGCTAACAAATACACACACACATAGGCTCACAACGGCATTGTGACATCATATGGTACCAGCTAATGTCATAGTGCAGATTTAAATTGAACTGTAGTGCAGTTTTTACCTGAAGGTGCAACACTGCCAGACAGACAGGCAGAATATTTAAATTTAAACTAAGATGCACTAAAGTGTCAAAATATTCACTACAAGGGTCTACAGCACTCATTTTCATAGTTTATTGGCAAAAAAAGTTGATTTGGGGGTGACTTGCTCTTTAAAAATCTAAAAGTGG